ACAGCTCACCACAGCCACAGGTCATGCACTGCAGGGCTGACACCCCTCAAAGAGCCTGGGCTGTTATTGTCGGGTCTCCCGTGCCCCCCGGGCTGCACACACAGGGCTGTTATCGTAGGGTCTCCCGTTCCTGTCCCTGTCCCCCGGGCTGTACACACGGGGCTGTTATTGTAGGGTCTCCCGTTCCCGTCCCCGGGCTGCACACACGGGGCTGTTGTTGTGGGGCCTGTTCCAGGCTGGTGACCCTTTCTGGGGAGTGGGGCTCAGCCTGGCCTGTGAGGGGGCAGATGACCCCCAGCTGATCCCGCACTGAGCAGTAATTAGCAGTAATGAGCCCAGCTGCGGCAGGGGCGAAGGAAGGGCCTGGGGAAGGAGCCACAGGCCGTGTGACAAAGTGGGACTGTTCTTAATGTTTTCCTCAGTTTCCCCTATGCAGTTCTTAAGTATCTAGGTGGTGGGATCAGGGTGTATGGTTGCTGCAGAGCAAAGGGCCAGTGCATATAAATGCCCGACACTCTGTCTCCTGGCAACTGATGGCCTGGGCCCCTCCTCTGCACAGGTGCCAACTGAAGGTGTTGGAGACAAAGGGATCAGGTGACCTCCTGGCCCGGGAAAGAGACAAAGCCCAGAGGGGCTGGATGGGGGTGGGAGTTTGGAGCTGGCTGGGGACTAGGAGTGAGGGCAGACCTGGGTTTGCCTCGCTGGGCCCCAGAATGGACCCGGCCGAGGGGTCCCGTTCGCTGGACCTACAAGCTCTGTTTTAGACCCTGTTCCTGTCATCTAATAAGCCTCTGTGTTACTGGCTGGTGAAGAGTCACGTCTGACTGCGAAGTGGGGGTGCAGGACCCTCTGGCTTCCCCAGGACCCCGCCGGGGCGGACTCGCTGTGGGAAGCGCATGGAGGGGCATATGCTGAATGCTCCCAGGAGAGACCCAGGAGGTGAAGCCGTGTGAGCTTCTTGCCCTGAAGACAGTCTGCTCCATGGGAGAGGAGGCTCCCCAAAGTCCTGACTGGCTTTGTGGGGAGCAGTTCCAGAGCATCGCCCGGGGACTCCGGGACAGGCCCTAGGCCGGGGAGGCTCTGACGCAGCCTGTGAGCAGCAGGGAGGCCGTGGGGCAGCCAGCTGGCAGGCAGGGCCCTGGGGAGCTGTATCCCACCGGGGAGCAAAGCGGGAGCCCTGCAGCCCCCAGGGGTGGGGTGACGAGCAGGGACCGGCAGCGTCGGCTGGAGGGGGGGCCTTGCTGGATCCGTCAGTTGGACGTTTGTTCTCATGGGGCTGCCCCTGACCACGTGTGAACGGAGACCGGCTGGCGGGGGGGTGCTGGAGGTGAGGACGCTGCGGTGCCAAGGGGGGCTCAGGGGGTGAGTGGAACAATATATGGGCTCCCATTTGTCTGGGCTGCAGGCCCGGGGCTGTATTTGTAGGGTCTCCCCCGTTTGCTGCAGGCCCGGGGCTGTTATTCTGAGCAGAGCAGTGTGGGGCTGAGGTTCTTGCCCCCCTCCCCCGGTGCTTTGGTGCTGGCTCTGACCCAGCCGAGGAAGCTGTTGACTGCTTCCCAGCGACTGTGTGGGGAGGGGGCTCCCCAGGAGGTACACAGACAGCGCCAGACTTGCCTTCTTGCCCCTTACAAAGAGTAACAGCAACCCTGGCCCAGGCCCTGCCACTACCTGCCCCCCGGTCCAACCCACTAGGCCCCACCCACTCCCCGCGCAGAACTGGGAGAGAACCCAGGAGTCCTGGCTCCCAGCCCCCCTGCTCTAACCACTAGACCCCACTCCCCTCCCAGAGCCGGGGAGAGAACCCAGGAGTCCTGGCTCCCAGCCCCCTGCTCTAACCCGTGCATGCTTTGGGATGAAGTGGGACTTTCGGCTCGTGTTGGCCCTGTGGCCGAGGGGGCGAGGGTCACCCAGGCCGCTGTTTAACATTGGGATGATTTAACGAACCCCCTGGGACCCAAAGCTCCAGAATGGCCCATTCCTGCCTGATCCATCCGCACCCATAGACCCGCCCCCCCACCCCGTACAAACTCCTGGGCCTTGGCAGAGACCCGGCCTGGCCGCCAGGGGGCAGGTGCCCCCTCGACTGGCTGCCGGGCTCCCGGACAGCCACTTGCCCAGTGCTGCCTGGGGACGCCGGGCGTGGGAACCGCCTTGGGGACGAGACCCAGCAGCCCTCTCCCCACAGCACAGTGGGGACGCTGGGACTCGCCAGGGTCACGCCGGGCGGCTGGGACAGACCCCAGCACATAACAATGAGGGAGGGCTGAGACCCAGGAGAACAAGCCCCCCACTGTCCCCCCTTCACTGGGCCTTGGGGTTAAAGCAGGGGGGGCTGGGAGCCAGGACTCCTGGGTTCTATCCCTGGCTTGGGGAGGGGAGTTGGGGCTGGTGGTTAGAGCGGGGGCTGGGAGCCAGGACTCCTGAGTTGTATCCTGGCTCTGGGAGGGGAGTGGGGGCTGGTGGTTAGAGCAGGGGGGCCTGGGAGCCAGGACTCCTGGGTTCTTTCCTGGCTTGGGGAGGGGAGTGGGGTCTAGTGGTTCCCCTGACCATACCAGACTATTTCCCAGTGACACTATTATTGTAAGTCATTTCTTTCAGCCCCCTTCCTCTATTAGCAGTTTCCAGGGGGTGAAGGGGAAGCAATACCCCACTTCTGATCTACAGTCCCCCTCCCCACCCCCTCACAGCAGACATGACAGATGGGTGCCTCCCCTGGCCCCGTGCTGACCCCAGACCTGGCTGCAGGCTGGTGCCCTGGGGCTTACAGACATGGGTTTAGATGCTCTGGGGATTTGGGATTCCTGCTGTCTCCAGCCTGCAGCTAGACAGGATCGCTTGGCAGAAGAGGGCTCCTTCCCCCTGCGGGACGGGGGGTTCTCAGCCCAACTGCTGCCGGGACACGGACCGAGCCCCCTTCTATCCACACAGACCCTAGCGCTCAGCACGGCCGGGGGTCAGACTACACCAGGGAGCTTATTATCCTGTGTGGGACAGTAGCACCTACCGGTCACGGCCGAGATCAGGGCCCCATCATGCCAGACGCTGCCCAGACCCCGGCCGAGATCAGGGCCCCGTCACGCCAGAACCCCCTCACACACATTCCCCAGCCCCGCTCCCAGCTGTAAGGACCCCGGGCACCAGGACTTTGTCTCCCTGTAGACAGCCCCCGCAGCTGCCTCTACCAAGGCGGCGAGAGCAGGGGAAGGACGAGTCCTGCCCAGAAGCTCCCAACACCAGGAGTCCCTGTAAATGGCTGATTTGTGCCAGGTGAGGGCCTGGGCCCACGGGGCTAATGCCCCCCCACCCCCAAAGACAAGCCAGCCGGTGGGTTTCTGGCACTAGGTGACCCTGCTCGAGCATGGGGCTCCCCCTACCCAGCTGCCTGATAGGACCCCAGAGAGCAGGACACGCCCCATAAGGCAAAGTCTGACACCCCCCACCCTGTGACTGCACGCAGGAGGTCCTGGCTCGTGGCACCCCGGGGATCCAGCAAGGGCCTGGCTCACGCTCGGCTGCCAGGAAAGCACCGAGACGGGTCGGAGAGTCCAGAGCCAGCGGCCCCACACGAGCTATTTGCTGCCAGTGTTTACAGGGAGGTATAAACACCGGATGGAGGACGACTGCCTGATCCCCAGCCCCGCACGCCCCCAGCCACAGCTGCTCAGGACGGCGCAGGGACCCTGAGCAGCGCACGGCAGGACCTGCTCCCCCGGCTGCTTTCACCCCCAGGGCAGGGGGCGCATCAGAGCAACGACAGCGTCCGTTCCACTCAGGCACCCCCAGCTGCGCCCCAGGATTCGCCTTCACGGCCGGCCCTGCTTCGGCGCTGTGCAGGCGCTCGACCAGCTGCCACGGTACGGCCCAGAGGCGGCACCGTCTCAGTGAGAGCCAGGCTCCCTCTGGCAGAGAGGGGCCCAGCTGGGACCTTCGGGCTGGAGTCCTACCTTAGCCAGTGGCGCTGGGGGCCAAGCCCACCCGCCAGAGTGAATTGCAGCCGGGGGGCTCCCAGGGGACGGCCCAACTTTCCCAGCTGGGCCTGGGCTCCAGGCAGGGCCACGTTCCAAGTCCCGCACGGGAGGCCGAAGCGGGAGCATCCAGTTGCGCCAAGCGCCCAGCAGCCGCGCCAGGGCGGCTGCACGAAGCCGAGAGGGAGGCAAACGGCTCAGATATGCCCCTGCCTCTGTCAGGGGGCCCTGCACTGGCCCTCTCCTACGGACTCTCCCTGTAGGAGCTTGGCTCCAGCCCCGCCCAGGCAGGGCTGGCACGAGCCCAGCGCTCTCCCGCAGCAAGCCATGCGCAGGATGGATAGGACCACAGGGAATGCCCAGCACATGGCCAAACATGGAGCCGAGCGGGGCTGGCCTGACCCGACCCAGCGCTCAGCGGCACAGCTGAACCCCAGAGGGCACCGGGGCCGGCTGCGCCGCAGCCCAGGCTGGGTGTGAAGCGAAGAGGAGGACGCAGCCTGGCTGGGCGAGGGACAGAAACAGATTCCTGCAGTGACCCCGGGACCGGCGCACGACCCAGCCGCCTCCACGCCGGGGGACGAGCCTGAGGCCCAGGCCAGAGAGCCGCTCTGCCCACCACCGGCGGGCGCTGCCCCATCCCCCGCAAGGGGGATTTCCCCCTGCCCCAGGCCCAGCGCCATGGGCAGAGCCCTGTGGGGAGCAGCCCACCAGGGCAGGGCGAGGAGAACAGGGCCAGCGTCCCGCCCTGGGATGCGGAGACAAGGTGCCATCTTGCAGCAAGAGGGGTTCCCCACCCTGCCCCCGAGTCAGAGGGGTGGGGCTCTGCCCCCCAAACTGCCCCCCCACAGCCCAGGCCTGCCGGCTTGGGGATCCCCCCTGCAGCCAGAGAGAGGAACAGCAGGTGTACCTGAGCGTGCCCCAGGCCCGGGGCCGAGTCCCGGCCAGGTCAGCCCAGCCCCGGGCCCGGTTGTGTGTCTAGCCAGGGCCAGCAGAGCCCGGCGCCCGCGGCAGGGACCAGACCGAGGCCAGCGCTCCAAAGCAAGGCTTTATTACAGACCGAAAGGCACCCGCTGAGCCCCAACCCCTCGGCTGGCCAGAGACTCACACAGGCCAGTCACAGGCTGGGGCAGGGGGATAACGTCCAGGGGGCTGCTGGGGGGTGGGGGGGGGCCAGGCCTGTGCCATCCCCAGGTGCAGGGGAACAAGCTGTCGCGTCAGGAGGCTCCGCCGAGCAACCCCCGGCCCCAGGCTGGATTTGCAGGGCCTCGCTGGTCCCACTCGTCCGGAGGAAGCTGCCACCGCCAAGGGCCGCAGGGGCCCCTCCCTGGGCAGGGGTCACGCTCGCTCCTGGAGCTCCGGGCTGGGCCGCCGCTGCAGGACTTGCTGCTTCTGGAGCCCCCGCAGCTTGAGGAGTAGCTCCTGCACGAAGGCCTGCGGGAGACAGAGGCTGGAAGCTGCCGAGCGAGCGCCGAGCATCCTTCCCCGTTAGCCCCCGGGGGGAAGGGCAGGTGCCCACCAGAGCAGAGACGCTCGCTCCAGCTGTTCCCACATCATCGCTCCTGCCCGAGGCTTCCCAGCTGTGTCCAACAGCTGGAGGAGCTGACACAGCCCTGCCCCGAGCCAGCAGCTCTCACGCCACCCAGCCCCTCGCTGCCTGGGAAACCCTGGGATGCCAGCTCCCGGGAGCCCCAGCGTGCCCATCACCGGGGCGTCTGGGTACCAGGCGTGGAGGTCAGTGCCGGAGGGCACTGGGGCTCAGCTGCTGTGGGGGAGGGATTCCCTAAGAGAGCCGCAGCCCCACAGGGGGAGGGTCCTGGTCACGGCAGACACAGCACTGACCCCCCCGGTGCTGCAGAGCCCGGAATACGGCCCAGCTCCCCCAAGCTCTTAGCCACAAGGCCAGATGGCCCAGATGTGCAGCAAGGGGCCACTGCTGGGTCTGAACGGGGAGCCCTGAACAGGGTTTGGTGCAGGGACGGTTGGGGGCAGGGCAGGATACCAGCCCTGGGCCTTGCACCCCCTGGTCCCTGGAGCTGCCTGCCCCACACCCAAGGCATTAGAGGGGCCAGAGCTGCCTCGTGCGAGCGGCTTGCCCCCAGCCTGGGGGATGGGGCAGCTGGCCGAGCCGGAGATAAGTGGGGATGGGGGAGGAAGCAGAGGGACGAATGTTTTTCCCTTTTAAAGCTCTGATCGGCGGCTGCGGCGGGGCCGTGATGCTCGTGGGAATCACTGCCCGGGGTCAGGGCTTGGAACGCTGCGGCTGGAGCTGGCACTGGGCAGGGGGCTCCAGCCTGCTCCCGTCGGCCAAGGACTTGGTCGCCAGCCAGCCAGAGCTGGGTGGGGAGTAGATTAAGGGTCAGCCCAGCGCCGGCAGCAGCCCTGGGTCCCTTTGCTGGGGCGGGACTGGGAGCTGTGGGCTCTCCCCAAGGCAGAGGGAGCCGGTGGCTGCAGGGCCCCCGTGGGCTGTGAACGAAGATACAGGCCCTGGGGCGCCGCCAGGACCGGAGCAGTGACGCAGTTGGGGTCTCAGCAACCGCCACTCACCTGCGTGTTGTTGTGACAGGACTTCAGGATGCCCTGGAAACAGAGACAGACAGACCTGAGCGCAGTGCGCGGGGTCTCTGGCACAGATCCACGCCCCGGCCCACATGGGACGATGGGACCTGCCAGCTCCAGGCCCCCCAGCCTGGTCCCCCGGCCCCAAGGGCCCGGCAGCCCCAGGACGGCCCGCCCCAGGACCTGGCCCCCCAGCTGGCAGGTGTCCTACAGCCGGGGGCTCAATCCTCCCCTGGACTCCGGCGGGAGCCCGGCACACCCAGCCGGCCTCCCGGGGCAGAGCCCTCCTCTCACTTGAGTGGAGCAGCTTCCCCCGTCCCTGTGATCTGGAGTGAATCCGGGGTAGGGGGTCTGACCCACAGCAGGTGCCGCAGGAGGCCAGGCTGCCTAGCTGCGCTCGGGGCCCAGTGGCGGAAGCACGGCCCATCGGCCCCCTGGCCCCGTCAGCGCCAGCTGATTCTCTGTCTGAATCATGCAGCCCCGGGGGGCCCCGCCGATCAAAGTCCCACACAGCTTGGAAGAGAAGCCACAGAACAAGCCTCTGACAGCAGCCGCTCCCCATGGCCAGCACCACCTCCGTGGCAGGACAGAGCCCAGGCCATGCCCCACGGTTCTGCGGGCAAAGCACAGGCCCCCCTGGACAGACAGGCCCCAGGCCAGGGCCCCGAGCTGCTGAGAGGGGATGGGGCTGGCCGGACCCCGGCACGTACCTGTAGCTGCGCGGCCCGCGCCTCGTCTGTGTCCAGCTCCAGGAGTTCATCAATGTTCACTTCATCCGGCATCTCTGCCTCCTGCAATGAGACGGGGCTCAGGAGCGGGGTGGGGGGGATGCAGCCTTGGGGGGTGGCCTGGGGTCTGAGCAGCCTGGACAGGCCCCCCCACTTCCCTGGAGCTGCCAGTCCTCTGCCGTAATCCCCTCCCAGCTGCTCTGTGCTGGGGAGCGGACCCCATGCCAGCCCTGCCTAGTCCCCACAGGAGAGCCATGTGCAAGGGGCCCCAGCCTCACCCTGGGGCTCCCCTCCCCCCCCCGCCGCAGGGTCTCCCAGCGACAAAGCCGCCCTTGCCAGCTCAGGGAAGCTCAGGCCAGAGGGTTCCTAGCTCCCGAGGCTGGAAGGGACCTTGTGCTCATCTCGGCCGACCCCCTGCATGGCCCAGCCCAGAGCCCAGCCCGCCCAGTAACTCCTAGGGCAGAGCTGCTGCAAGCCAGCCCCTCTCACTCTGAACTGGGGAGCAATGGGGATTTTCCCCCACGCACCCATCCCGGGTGAATTGTTCCGGGTGGGGGGTGGATTTCACTCATCGGAAATAAGGTGCAAACGTTTAAGAGTCAAACTCTGTCTCGCTTCATGTGGCTTGTCAGATCTTCAAGTATTTGTGCCCCGGGGCCCATAGCTGCTGATCGCCTGGGCTCCACTCACCCCCAACCTTCTCTGTGTGACGCTACGCGGAGCTCATTCAAACCCTTTGCTGGTTCTCGCCTCTCTTCTCGGACCCCCTCCAATTGACCCACCTCCTCCGTGAGTTGTGGGCTCCCGAGCGGGATGCAGGACCCCAGCAGCGGTCATGGGTTGGAGCAGGTGGCAGGAATTCGGGCTCCAGACCCAGATCTGCAGAAGCGCTGCAGAGCCAGTTAAAGCCAGCGCCACCCAGCCCCGGAGCGCCAGGCTCCAGCCCCTCTGGCAGGCGAAGCCATGCCCTACACACATTCACGGGGGGCTTTGCCTCTCATGCCACACGGTGCCCTGCATGTGTGTGAGGGAGCAGGGAGTGAGGTGGATTGACCTGGGAATGTTGCGCGGGAGTTTTATTGAGACTGTCGGCATTGGTGATGGGATACCAGGGCGAGGATACCTGAGCATGTAACCTGAGCCCAGGAGGGGGGTAGGGCCAGGTGACACCTTTTCCCCAGGAAACTGGACAAAGGCTGGGGGAGGAGCCGGGGGCAGTGGCTGGAGGGGTTTTGGTTTAGAGCTGGCTGGGGAAGCGGAGGGATAAGCTCCCTACCCCCCTGGGGACCTGATTGAGGGGTCCTGGTTGTACCTACGAGTGCCATTTGGATGGTGTTCCTGTCCAATTAACCTTCCGTTTCACTGGCTGGCTGAGAGTCCCGGTGAATGGCAGGAATTGGGGATGCAGGGCCCTGACTCCCGCACACTCCGTGACAATGTGACCCCAGGCCGGGCCCTGTTGTCACATGGGATCGCCTCCCTCCTGGCCCATCTGCTCATTCAGCACCAGGAAATGCCAGCAATCAGCCTGGGGCATGCAGGCTGCTTCCTGCCAGAGCCCGATACAGGAGCAGCTGGCCCCGGTCTGGCGAAGGGAGCCGGGCCAGGCCCCAGGGCCCACGTCAGCAGGTCCGTCCTCATGCCCAGTGCCACAGGACAGGGCCTGACCCAACAGCGCCCACAGGTGCCGAGCCCAGCCCAGTGGGTGAGGGCAGAGGGCTCGGCCCCATGGTGGGGGGGGTTTAATCCCCCTTTGTTCCCCCAGCTCTGGCAGAAGCCCCCCACCCCCGTGCTCTCCTGGCCTGGGGTCCCTGCAGACCTGCCGGAGCCACGCACCCCAGGGGCCAGCCCTGCACCCCAGGTGAACTCAGGGCCTGCGAGAGCCTGCTCCGCCGCCCCCCCCCAGCCACTCCCACCCCAGCTGGCAGCTTCCCCCTCCCTCGGGTCCAGGGCCAGGCCGCTCCGGATACGCCTGGTACAGAGCCCCATTGTCCTGCTGGCGCCCAGCGCTGCCAGGCTGTAAACCCCATGCCCAGCACCCCCTGGCCCTACCAGTCACCAGATGGGCTGCAGGCCCCTCCCCCACTCCGCTCCTTCTGGGCCATACGCAGCTCGGACTGACCAGCCCGTGGCTTGGGGACTGCTCTGCAGGGACCTGCTGCTCCCCCCTCGCCAGAGCCAGTGTCCAGGTCCTGTGTTTCTGGAGGAGGGAAGGAAAGAGGCTCCCATCCCCCACTAGCAATCAGCCCCCAGGGGGAGGGGAACAATTCCTGACAATGGAACAGCTGTTCCCAGTCCCACCCCATCTGGCCTGTAGAAAGAGAGGCTGGCGGGGGATGGCCCTGAGCCGGGAATGCAAAGGGTTAAACCAGGATTTCCCCCCACACTTACAGCCAATGGGATCAAGGCACAACGACCCCCTCCACCCCCCAATGCAGCCCCCCACCCTGCTGGACGGGCTCCCCTGACCTGACGGGGGTCTCCGTGGAGTCCCCACGGCTTTCCCCTGCTGCAGGTTTGTGGCCATTTCCCCCCCAAGCCAGCACCCAGCCTGAGCGCCAGGGACCAGCCCCTCGCAGGCTGGGCAGCACCAGGCCCCATGTGCATCTGCAGGGCGCCCGGCCAGGGCGAGCCAGGAGGGGCCCCGCTGTCACAGCTCACATCCGGAGCTGAGCCCCGCTCGACTCCCTTCCAAACAGCTCCGAGGGCCGGTTCCCCCAGTGCCATGGAGCTGCCTTAGGGATCCCATGCTGGGGGCTGGTTTCCTCAGAGCCCTGGCACGAAGCAGGGGCGAGTTATAGGGAATGGCCTGGTCTCGCCTGGTGGCCCCCTCACACCCCAGGCAGCCGTGTTAACAGCCACCTTCTCCAAGGCCTGTTCGACGCTGCAGTGGGGCAGACGCTTCTCTGGCACAATGTGACAACGCCGTGCCAGTGCACAGCTCATCGGAACCAGGTACGTGCACCTCCCTCCGTGCGAGAAGAGCCCCGGGCGAGAGCGGTGATCTCCCTTCGCCTGGGAGGGAAACGCAGATGGAGCTCTCCAGGCCGCCCGTGCCAGCCGCTCTCTCCTTTCATGGAAGAGTTGAAGCAAAGGAGAAAGTCTCCTATTTTTATAGCTGGAGATTCCTGACTCGCAGCACTTCCTGCTGCGGGTTCCCCAGGCCGGCCAGCCGGGCGGGGGCGAAAGTGCTTTAGCGTTTGGCCATGGAAGGCGACATTAAAGAGGAGCAGCAAGGTGAATTTCAGGGCGGTTGGGGGGGGGGGGGGCGTTGGCCCCGATTCTGCACTTCCTTGGGCAGCCACGTCCGCCCGCACAGAGCCGAGCGGGAGCATTTGGCCCGGGTTCTGGTGTCTGCGTTGGGTGCAGGACAGCAGAGAATCAGGCCCAATATTCTGAAGCGCGAGACGCGGCTGCTCTTCCCCAGAGATCTGCTTAGCTTGGCAGAAGCCCCGGCGCATGCAGCCCGACACGCTGAACGACCCCAGCAGAGACAGAGCCAACGTCGGCCTCTCTCCACGAGGGCCCGACCGGAGCTCGGCAGAAACCAGCTACTTCTAGCCCCAGAGGAAGGCAGAGGTGGGAGCCCAGCTCAGCTGGGACGGGGAGGCACGTGCGGACTGCAAACCAGCCCCCCCAGATAACGCCATTGCAGCGTCAGGGCAGCCCAGAGCGGGCAGCCCGGGCCAGGCGTTCCGCACAAGCACTGGTGCCCGCTGTGCGGCCACACTAGGAAGTCAGTCAGTCACGGGGGGAAACAGGCCGGAGAGACTCGCGTTTCACACAGCCACACGCCGGCACCTGGCCCGACTGGGCGGCACTTGGGTCTTGCCCGGAGTCACTTAGGGGAATCAAACTGCTGATCTCAGGGGGAGAGCAGGAAGAAGTGGAGAGCCCAGTGCAGGGGCCCGACCCTCAGGCCAGGCCCTAGACTGGAGATGGCTCCAGGAGCTGGCAGAACCCCAATCTGAGACCCCTTGCAGGGCCCTGATGACTTTCCGGACAGCACTGAGGCTGGGGCAGGCCTGTTTAAGGGCCCCCCACGCTCCCTGGTTGCTTTGGAAAGTCGCCCCCAGCCCTTCCCAAGTTCTGCAGCCAGGGCAGCAAAGGGACCCACGGGGCAGCTGGGGACGCCAGCCGCTCTGCAGAGCCCCAAGAGAGGGAGGGAGTCCAGAGTCCCAGGTCTCCTCTGTTCCTTGTTCTCCCCCCGCACTCCCCAGACCCAGGGCAGCTGGGGAGTCCTGGCTAATCACGGAACTGGCCCAGCCCAAGGCAAAGGGTCTTGTCCAGCCTGTGGCCCCAGCAGCCAGCCATGCAAGGTTGTGCCCCGTCATGGCCCCCGACAGCAAAGGGCATAGCCCAGGTGCTGGGCAACCATTAGCCTCTAGTTCGGACGCAGCCCTTCAAACCTCACAGCCAGAGCCACCGAGTCAGCGCAGAGCTCCCCACCCACATCCCCGGGAGCAGCTGTGCCCCCCATGAGCCGCAGGCTGCTGTCTGCAGGGGGGTCGCAGCAGAGACCCCTCCCCACATCGGTAACAGACCCCATGGCAGAGGGTGCCGCATACCCAGGGTCACCCCAGCCCCGAGCTTGGGGCTCAGGGAACGAGGGACCCCGGCAGCAGGGGGAGCTCCCCGATCGGCCCAGGGCTCTGGGAGGGGAGTGGGGGCTGGTGGGTTGAAGCAGGGGGGCTGGGAGCCAGGACTCCTGGGTTCTCTCCCGACTCTGGGAGCACAGTGGGGGATAGTGGTTACAGCGGGGGGGGGGGAGAAGGGGAGACTAGGAGCCCGGACTCCTGGGTTCTCTCCCAGCTCTGGGAGGGGACCAGGGGCTACTGGTTACAGCAGGGGGGCTGGGAGCCCGGACTCCTGGGTTCTCTCCCGGATCTGGGAGGGCAGTGGGGGCTAGTGGCTGTCCCATGGCCCTGCCCAGTGAGCTTCACCCAGCGCTAGGCAGGTGCCAAATTCTGCCCCGACCTCGGAGAGAAGAAATTCTGGGTGTCCCAGGACTGAGGATGGCGGAGCCGCGCCCCCATCTCAGCCCCGGCGCTCGCCCGTCCCGTGCGCCCCGGCGCAGCTCACCCGGCCCAGGTACAGCTCCTCCAGCCGCCCGTCGATCCATTTCTCGGTGTCCAGCCGCCGCTGCAGCTCCCGCCGGTCGTACTTCACCGTCACCCGGGCTTGGCGCTTCTGAATCCCGGGGCTGCGGGCCGGCTCCGCCCGGGGACTCCCCGGAGAGCGCGCCGGGGACCCCCGCCCCAGCCGCCTGCCCACCCGGTTCGCAGCCATCAATGCCCGGCACCGCCACGGGAGCCACAACCCCCCTCAGCCCGCGGCTTATGGCGTGGGCAGGGCCCGTGGGCGGGGCTTCGGGCCGGGCTAGGCACTGCCCCTCGGGAAGCGCACGGCCGGGAGGCCCCCGGGGGGGCTCGGTGCGTTGGGAGCGCGCGCGGCGCGATGGGGAAAGGTTAGCCGGGCCCCGCGCGTGGGGGGCACTGGGGGGCAGCGAGGCACGGGGGGAGGCAGGGCTGGGGGGCAGTGGGGGCAGCGAGGCACGGGGGGAGGCAGGGCTGGGGGGCACTGGGGGGCAGCGAGGTACGGGGGAGGCAGGGCTGGGGGGCACCGGGCTTGGGGACGGCAGGGCTGGAGCCTGGGGGGCACTGGTGCTTGGGGGCGCACGGTGGGGGGCTCAGTGCAAGGCCAGCGCACTGCCTGGGCTGGGGTGCCCATAGTCAGGCCCCAGGCGCTGGGGGAGGGGTTTTCCCAGGCTCAGCCCGGGCACTGGGTGGCAGCCCCCAGTGCCTAGGCCTCTGGGCAGGTCTCATGTGGGAGGCTGGCAGGGTCCTTGCTCTGCTCTGGCTCCCGGTCTCCCCTGTGTCCTGGCAGGTGGGGAAGGGCGGTGCGGAGACAACCCCCAGCGTTCGCTGTGTGAGGACACTTTGCACCCGGGGAAGGTTTGGGCTCTGGTGACGTGCCCCGGGTCACGCAGCCAGTCTGGGGAGGCAGGGAATTGAAACCCGGCTACCTGCACCCCAGGCCAGCATCCTAACCACTAGACTGTGCTTCCTCTCTGCAGCGGTTGGTGTCAGGTGCTTGCCCGGCGTTGTGGCAGAGCTCTGGGCAGCCCCCAGTCCTCCCAGAGAGCACTCAGTTGCCGTAAGCCCGGGCGCGCCCCGGGAGAGGCAGGGCCGTGCCCACAGGCAGGCAGGGCAGGGGATCTGATCTCGGTCCCCTGCGGTCCAGGTGAGTGCCCCGGCCACGGCCCCGTCAGCACTTCCCCTGGGCTGGGTGAGCTGCGCAGGAAAGGAGAAGTGACCTGGCCCCAAACGTTCATTTGCATCGAGATGGTTCCGCTGCATCCATCTTCGCGCCATTTTCTCCTCTCTTCCCCTGACCTCGGGAACTGGGACCGTCTCCGGGGCAGGGCCGCCCAGAGGATTCAGGGGGCCTGGGGCAAAGCAATTTCGGGGGCCCCTTCCATAAAAAAAGTTGCAATACTATAGAATAGTATATTCTTGTGCCCCACTTGCCCCCCCCCCGGGCAGCCCTGCTCCCGGGACCTCTGCATGTGTTAGTTGTTCCACCCCCATCACTAGCCAGTGGAAAGCCAGAGCCCTCACCCCCATCACTAGCACCCCCTCTCCTAATTTCCCTCTCCTCCGGGACAGCATCGGCTCTGGGTCGCTCGCAAAGGCCCGAATTCAGTACCCAGCCTGTTGTGTTGCCTGGAGTGCAATGAATGGGCCAGAGAGTCCCAGGGGCGACGGACCTTGGCACTGTGCAGTTACACCCGGGGCAGGGGTTCGCGCAGAGAGACGCAGCCTGCTCGGTCCCATGGCAAAGGCACGGCTGCAGCAGCGTGTACAGGTTCAGAGGCCGCTGAAGATGGTCTCAACTGTCCTTTCACTGTCGTTAAAGTCCATCCCTGCTTCTCCTAAGACTAAACACGCTAAGGCCAGGCAAAGGCAGAGAAGAACAGCGACGTGAGAGAGAGACCCGGGCGTCTGTCTCCACTGCTGACTCTCACATGCAACCTCAGCGCTGGAGAAACACGGGCCCAGGCCGTGGTCTGACCAGCTGCGCCGAGACCTGGCAAACTCATACCAACATGGGCTGTTTAGGGCGTTGCTTTGAACTGCCTCTCTGGGCACAGGCTCACAGCAGCCCTGGTGAACAGACAGGCCCGGCTGGCTCAGACAGGATCTTAGGAACCAGAGAGGAAGAAATACACCGAGGAAGACAAACGAAAGCAAGGGAGGGGGAGGCAGCTGCAGGAGCCCCAGTCTCATGGTCCAGGAGGCGTTTAGAGAGTTAGCCGGAGCTGCCAGAGGGGACAATCTCATCTCTGGCCTGGCCTGGCAAGGACGTCTCAGGACTCGGATGGTGAAGGTGCCATGGCTCCAGGCGGGGTGCGGGGTGAGGGAGGACGGGCAGGGCTGTGGGGGTGAGGGCTGCGGGCAGGGCTGTGGGGGTGAGGGAAGATGGGGCAGGGCTGTGGGGGTGAGGGCTGCGGGCAGGGCTGTGGGGGTGAGGAAGGACAGGCAGGGCTGTGGGGGTGAGGGAGGACTGCGGGGGTGGCTGGGCACCTGGACTCCTGGGTTCTCTCCTGGCTCTGAGAGGGGAGTGGGGACTAGTGGTTAGAGCGGGTGATCAGTGATTGTCACCCAGCGCTAGGCAGGTGCCAAGTTCTGTCCCGAGCTCCGAGAGAAGAAATTCTGCTTCTTTCCAGCCTCCCCTCCCTCATTTCAATCCTCCCCCTGCAGTCTCTTTCAAGGTCCCCAGAGCGGGGAGGGGCAGCATAGTCCAGCCTCCCCATTATGTCGTCCACCAATTAAGCCTAGTTTCCAATGCACCAGTTTTGGCCCATTCATTTTCCGTCCCGTTCTCCTTTGTTTACCGAACACGATCTCCACACCGGCCTTGGCTGGGACCCGGAGACGTTTCTGTTTGGCCCAGCCCAGTCTGTGCGTCTCCCCTGTGCACCTTGCCCCTGACTCAGCCTTTCCTGTCACGGGCGACTCTGCCCTTCGGAAGCTCTCCCCGCGGTTCAGCGGCGGCTCCCGAGCCCGAGCGACCCAGTTATCGGCACAGGCCGCGGCCCGCAGTGGGGTCGAGGGTCTTTTTGCGGGATCGGGCCCCGTGTTGCTGGCGGTTCCACGAGCCCAAACAGAACCCCCCTGCTGCCCTCTGGTGGGGGAGGGAGGTCACAGCATCGAGATGGGACGGAGCTGAGGTGAAATCCGGCCGCCCACTTGTGGGACTCTGGTGCGACTCTGGCTGCAATGGCAGGTGTCTGTCACCAGTAGGGGGCACCACCCCGGCCCAGCTCTGGGCCTGGACCAGGTGGGATGGGGGAACTGGGCTGTGCGAGCTCTGGCTGGCTCGGGGTGGGGGTGGGACACGGGGGCGCTGATTCTCCTTGGGCAACGGGAAAACAAATGTCATTAACCACCATCCCGCCGGCTGGCATGGTCCACGGGAGAGCTTTAGCGTCTCTCCTGCCTAGACCGTCCCTCGTTTGCCTCCAGCTCGTTAGGCCCGGGCGTAACTCCCTGGCCCCAGCTCAGGGGCGGCCTGGGGCTGGGCCGGCTCTGGGCGCGCTGGAGACAGTCGGGTGGGGTGGCAGGTCCGACTGGCCAGAGGCTGCAGAAATGTGGCCTGAGACTCGTTACAGCCCTTAGCTGGAAGCGGCTCGACTCTTTAACATGCACATCTCCCGCCAGGGGGTGAGGCCTGCCGTTCCCCCAGGAGCCCTGGCCAGTTACTGCAGCCGGGGGCCATCTCCCCTAGGAACACCGCCCTAAGCAACACCCCGGGTGCTTTAACCAGCCTGAATTAAAGGAGCTTCGTCAGGGCTCCGCTCAGGCCCGAGGGGAAAGACTTGTCCAGGTTTGGGTGCAGCGCTGGCAGCTGTGCATAAGGTCCCTCTTCAGGGCAGGGACCGGTGTGTGCAGGGCCTGGTCTGTGGCTGAGGCCCCAGGCTCTCCAGAGACACACCGAGTCACGGCTCGGGGGAGGCTGCCAGCCAGGGCGAACCAGCGCTGGGTATTGCACCCGCAGGGAAAAGAACCTCCCAGGCCAAAACACGGACCAGAAACCCTCTTCCTGCGCCAGAAACCCCCCCCCACTCCCAGCCCCCCGCTCTGTCCTCGACTGGCCGCCAGGTGCGATCCAGCAGCCGGGCCGGGGGCATGCGGGGGCATGAGCCCCCCAGTTCATGCCAGGCTCCCGCTGGGGCGGGGTCTGTGATTCGGGGCGGGGGCAGGAGGGGTCACCAATGCGTCAGCGACTTTTTTTAAAGCTGGGGGTGTTAGAGCCATAAAACGGCAATAACCCGGGGAGGAGGCCGAGCCCGAGTCAATCATTGACCCTCTTTGTTCCACAGCCCTGCCCGTCCTCCCTCACCCCCCCCGCCAGCCCTCACCCCC